ATTTACAAAAAGGAGCTAAATTGCTTTTAAATTATTTCGCCAATACTTTGTCCTAGTATTGAAGTCAAAGCGAAAAGTTTTTAGGGATAAATCTAAATAGGTCCCGCAAAATGGCACATTTCACAAGATGTATTCGGTTCAATACATTACTTGCCTCTGTTAAAGACTACAAAGTCTCAGCTATTTAAACTAGATGATAGATTGCTTGCTAGACAAGAAGATAGAACTAGCAGAGACTTGAGAAGTCTATTTTGACTTATTATGGCAGTTTAAAGCAAAGAAACATTAGGTATAAAGCTTTCTAAAAACATCTAACTCCTGAAATACAGCATTTCAAAGATCATTTTCTCATTATTTCAATATTTTATTAAAATTGCGCCACTTTTGACATTAATTTCATTTGCAGTTAAAAAAGAAACCCAATGGAGAGATGAAACATAAACAAATACAACAAGTACCAGAGCAACAAATGCTCTCAACAGCAATAACTACTAAAGACCATACCGGCCGGCAACAATTAAAAAGAAATACCAAAAAAGAAGAGAAACAAATTATTAAAAAAAAAAAAAAACTGCATTAGAAATTAATATAAAAAAAAAATCCAATAAATCTACAAAAAAAAAGAGCACATTAACCAAAAATATTATTGATAAGAGGGGAAAAGAGGTGTGAATAAAAAAAAAACTACAAGTCATATACATACTACTAATAAATAAAAGTGGCGCAAAATTGTTTTTATTTTTTTTGACAACGAAACAGTGAAAAAAACCGCCAAAAACCCAAGTAAAAGTAAAGAAAATTGCGCCAACATTGAAACACTACCGTGTCATGCAATACCATACATAATTCGTAGACGAAATGTTGACTGAGTTTATGTATGTGACTGAGTGCTGCTGGCTGGCTGCTACTTTTGCTGTTTGATGATGATGATTTGGTAATAGAGATATTATGGTTAAAATAATATAGGTATCTGGGAATGGAAAACATAATAAAAGCAGCAACACTAACTAAAAACAACATAAAAAAAGCAAAATGATAATGAAAATGTATTTTTAGAATCTATACGCAAAAACAAAACTATATTCCAAATGAATTTATATTAGAAAACACAAAGAACACTTTCCTTGCACGCAAACATATTGAAACATTTTGCAAAAAAAAATAAAACTGATTGTTAAAGCAATTTGCCTAAACTATAGATACCATTCATCATTGATTGGCATTCTTAGGAAAATGGAAAATTAAAACGGGAATTCACTGTAATTGGTTAGTACTCAAACTAAGGCTTAAAAATTAAAACTACGGTTACTCAATTCTATGCTAAAAATAATGAAAATAAATTAAGGAAGAACAAAGAAATAAAGCAGCAACAGCAACGTTGGCATCAAGTCCAAACGACCAACAACACACACTCACACTCCATACACAATTGCGCCAAAACCAGATGATCAAGCGCCAAACTGCAGCAACAATAAAAACACAGGCATTCTTTATACTCTCTAATGAAAAAAAAAATGAAAAGAAATACCAACAACAGCAACAAACTAAAATTATTGTATCTACAACAAAAAAAAAATGAAGAAAATACACAGCAACTTTAAGTTTGTCATTACACTAAGTTCGCCTTAAATTCCCCAAAAGACAACGACCGACCGACCGAATTGTAACTTGAAAACCAAAATCAAAAATAAATACAAAACAAAAAAAAAACACAAACAAACAACAACTAAATCAATCTTCTTCTACCCTACCACAAAGACAAACCAACTAAATACTTTAATTGTTGTTTTTGTTTTGTTTTCATTACATACTTTTATTATAAACCGCGCGTAAAGTTTATTAAGTAGCCGCTGCTGCAGAGCTGCGCCAACGCAGACCACAACGTCCATCATGTTCTACGTTAAATTATGGAGGGAGAGAGTATTAAAGCCAGCAGAAAACTAACAACAACAAAAACTAACAGCATTAAAAATTCAAGGCGAAATCAAATTTATACTCGTAGAATGTAAAAGAAAAAACCCAAGAGTCAATAAAAACAGCAGGAATAATTATAATAAGGCAAACTTTTATTTTTAAACTAATTCTTACCCCTTTAGCTTCACTAGACAAACAATTTAAACTTTATTAGAAAACTATTTTTACTTAGTTTTAGAAATTAAAATATTCACTTTTTGGTACCTTCCTCCATTCACGTCCATTCACTCGTTTATTAGCTCACACACATTCACACAGCTACCATCAGAAAAAGTCTGAATTTGCTGGCTGTCAGTGCCCAATGTGAAATGTTGTTTTAAATCAGCTGTGTTGCCGTATTATCTCAATGGCAACAATTGCTTGAAATACGTTATTTTTTTTGTTGTTTTTCTTTTCAAGCAGTGTTATCATATAGTTGGGGTTGTTAGTTTTAGGAATTTGTTATATTTTAATATGAATAGTTGGTGGAATTTTTAGTAGTTCAGATAAATAGAACGATATTCTATAAGTTCTTTAATATAGTACTGAAAACTCTTTAAAATCCCATAAAATTTGAAAAAAGTCGAAAACCAGAAACGAAAGTTTACTTTTCTAAAGGATTGAGGCTTAAAATTGTATTAGGTTTTAGAGATATCGTGTCATAAAGATCACAAAAACCCAGTTCTTGAGCATATTTGGTACACTATAACAGATGTAAGAATGTTATACCTTTATTTTAGTTTCGGCAGATTGGATTTTTAGACGACACAACAAATTTTATAAATAAATATGTCTTTGTGTTATTATAATATCTCAAATATGGCCAAACATTATCTTGATGTGATAAAAAATTCTTAGATCAGATTCATATCTGTTAAAAATTTGTTTTCCTGTGTAATTATCTGAATTTGCAGTTGGGTTTATTCTGACCGTACCTTTAAACCATGCAAAAACCTACTTTTTATACATTCATACATAATTTTTATACCTATAAGTCAGTTTGACATAAAAATATATGTATTAGACTATACCCAATAAAACTTCTCTTAACAATCATATTTAGTCCAAACTGATCTATGAGTCATATAAAAACCAACATCTTTTACGATATAGCCTCAAAAGAAAGATAAGGATAAAGGATGTTTGCACTATTAGTTTCCAAAAACAACTTTTTAAAATAATTTCAATACAGAAAAAATGTTGAAAAACTGAAGTGAAATGTCAAAATATTGAAACCATAATAATATTTTGAAAAATGTCGATACAAAAAGTCCACAATATAAAGCAAATTGAATAGAATATGCGATTAACAAACCATCTCCTTTATGGTGAAAGGGTTATACTTTGGTAAAAGGTTTATCTTACTTGGTTTTAGTTCAATAAACTTTAAAGGAAGTGACATTTTTGTATAAAATTGAATTAGGTTTTGTAAAATATATGTATTTTGACCATACACAATATGGATAATAAAGATAAAATTTTAAAAATATTACATTTTCAAATGTCGCTGTAAATAAAGTGACGCTTATTTACAAAAAATTAATACCTAAATAAAATTTTAAAATTTCTAGTTAGTGGGGAAAAATCTTATTGGAACATTTACATACAATATTTTCAAATATTTTAACTCACTTCATCAATTGCTAATAGATAAACATTTTATTTATAAATAAAATTTACATATTTAAAATAATAATATGAAAATTTAGTACTGATTTTCTTTATAAACACGGAAATTCATATTGGAATTCTAAATAAGATTTAAAATTCCAATATGAATATAAAATCTAGCTAGAAAATATTTTATAAAAAAAAAAACAAATATGTAAATTGTATTAAACTGCTAAAAACTTACTTAAATATGTTTAATTTAATTCTACATTTATATTTTAATAAAAGTAAAGAAATGAAAACACTTTTTTGCCACCTACTCTCTGACCTACCCCAACTACTAATTCAACAACAGGGGCAAACAAGAAACTAAATAAACAAATCAAAGGAAAATAAATTAAAACAACAGAAATTCAATTAAATCAGACAATTTGTTTGTTCTAATAAACATAAGGAAAAATAATATACTTAACAAACACAAAAACACTAATTATTGCAATGAATAAAATAAGAATCATTAAAATAATATACAAACAAACACACTACACATTTAAAACCATACTATTGAAGAATTCCCACACTCAACACATTTCAAATATATACACATCATCATGGTTTGCATTTTTAGCGCGAGTTGGCATCACTGTTTACAAACATCAAAACAAAAAAATTGTTTACAAAACAAACATAAATTTGACATTTTTAGACTCAACTTTGAACGGATTTTTTGCAAAGTTATTAAATGAAACCCTACACATATGATACCTTCCCGGAAAGCTTATATCCTCTAGAATCAGATTCTTTTGAAATTACAAAAATCGGGATATATTTGTGGAAATAAATCACATTTACTTTTGGGGATTTTGGCGCGCGCGGGCTTTTTGGGCTAGAAATGAAGAGAACAAGAGAACTTGACACTGACAGTTGAGTAGCGCGCGCACTTGATAATATGGGCGCGAGAGAGTAAAAAAACTGGATGGTTGACTGGAGCAGCAGCATGTTAAACTGCGGCGACGACTACAGCAAACCACCACAATATGGTAAAATATGAGAAATGATAGGGAAAAAAGTTTTTTTTTGTTACTGTGAAAAAAAGCGGCAAAAATCCAGACTAGTGACGACGACTGCACAGAGAAAATAAGAAAAAAAGACGTAAAATGAAGCCGAAAAAAAGCGAGTGAATGAAGAAAAAATTAGAAATCACTTTTTTGAACGAAATCCAACAATAAAAATGTACTTTTTTTAGGGGGGTCAAATTAGGAGATGACTCGCACATGCACACATTATGTGGAATTTAAGAAAAAGGAATTTGGCCACAGCAAAAAGACACCTGCCTGTCACTTGGTTAACCTGTTTTCCTTGGGCCCTAGACAGCAGCTCTTTGTACAAAAGAGCATTTGTAATGTATTTCTGAGAAAAAGGTTTAGTACACTTACCTTGAAAGCAAATTCTTCCTTACGACACTATATTCGCCAGCGAATCTTGCAAAATTTTATAATAAAAATTTCTTGTTGGAAGTTTGATCCTGTCTAAGGGGTTCTTTTGTTAATGATGAATAAGGCCAGCCATGCCAACAAATATTTAATAAAATTTTTGATATTGTAGCGATTAGTAATACTCTGCTTTGCGCGTTTATTTTACACACAGAAGACCTGTTGGTTGGTAGTGGCCACTCACTTCTTTTGTTGGCTTTGTAGCGATTACAGCACCATGAATTTTAACTCCAATGAAGATTAAATAATCTCCGTGTATTCCAAATTGTTGGAAAATTATGCAAAATCCATAAAAATTATTAAAAACCAAATGAATTCTTTGATATTCACTTCACAAGGCGTGACCACGTTGCTAAAATTGCACTTGAAAAGTCACTGGACTGATTTTAACACCAATTTTATATTGTATTTTACGAACTGCTAGACACTTGCACGTTTTCCTACGGTTTGTCCAAATTAATTACTGCATTTTCCTGGTTAATTGTGCAATAGTTTTTTATCAAATTTATTCACTTTTCTCTAGTAATTTTTGGTCTGAAAATGATGACGGCAACACAAAAATGGTGTGTAGAAGTTAAACGAAAATTTTTTCTTTACTTTTTGGTGACAGCACAGAACCAGAACAGAGCAGTAAATGCGTTGAGATCGTAAAGTGTTGTATAAAAGGCAATGAAACCCATAAACGCTGCCGTCGTCTACATAAATTCGCTCCTCTGTTTGCTCTCACGCTGCCGGAGTATATATGGTGAAAAAGCAACAAGTAAACTTCGCCGCAGCAACAAATAAGCAGAGCGCGCGCGAAACCATTTGACAGCTGTCAGGTGTATCAGCTGATTGGAGTTTTTTGCCTCTTTTTTGTAATTCTTGTTTTGATTTTGCTCTTCTCAAACCTGCTGATCGATTGACACTGGCTAGCAAGTGTGGTGAAAATGCCATTCCATTGAGTAGAAGTTAAGAACAATAACAACAATCTGGAATGAGTTATTAACCATATGTGACCACCAGGTGGGGGAAAACATATGTTTGAAATTGTGTTTGTGGTGATGTTGAGAAAAAAGAAGGAAAACTGTTTAAGTAAATACCCCACATTTTGCGGCGAATCTTATCAGTAGGTGAACAAAAGGGAATGAAAATATTCGTGTGTGTGTGTGTATGCGTGTGGGTATGTGTTTTAAAAGGGGTTATTTCTGATTTGAATGGTATTTTTCAATATGGAGGCTACTTTTTTTTATTAATTCTGTTTACAGGTTTGGTGGTCAAAAACAACATTTTAAGTGTGAGAAGAAAGTATGAATGAAGGTAAGTTTTTAGGATACATACATATGTACTTTATGTAGTTACAAATGTAGTATGTAAGGTAAACTATTGATACCAGTTATATGTTTTCTTTTTTAATGTGAGATAATGTTTCCCAAAGACTCCTTTATAAAACAGAAGATGATATATTTATCGATATTTTTGATCCTATAGAGTATATACTATAGATGCTGGAACCGATTTAATCATGTCCGTCTGTTATGTACATATGTATGTCGAGATCAGTTTTTAGAAGACTCCAAATTTATGCGAGATCCGAAATTTGAATAATTCTTAATCAGCAAATCGGTCCATAAACATCGGTCATATGAGCAAAATTCCGTAGCAACTATGAAAATATTTCGTTTTTGCTCACTTCTGATTAGTTTTGTTGAGGAAACTATAGCAGCATTTTCAACAAAATCTGTCACAAGTATTTTCTAATGTCCTGGGATTAACATAGTTAAAAATTATTGGAATCGGTCAAGAATTTCACTTAGCATTCGTACAAATTCACATAAATATTCCTAGAAAATGGTTTTATTGTTAATAACCCCCTTCCGTCTGTTATTGACCATAGGCCTCCTTTGGAAAATCATACATACATCTAATATCAATAGAAATAAAGCCAGGATCGGGTCCATAATTGAAAATTACGAATTCTCTGCCTAAATGCAATGAATATGTTTTGTTTATATGCACAAATGCAAGTTTATTCCTCAGGAAAGAACCTATAGACCACAGTCGAATTGTAACAACAATAAACTAATTATTAATTAAGGTCAAAACTGGTTCTCAAAAGATTTACATTAAAAAATCTAATATTTTGTTAAGAAATCATAAATTTTTTCAACCAATCGTTTGGCGGATGAATAGACTTTTAAAATGAAACAGATAAATACTTTGTAATTATTAAACAAGTAAGAAATTATAGTCGGGCGTGGCCGACCATATGATACCCTACACCAGTTATGAATATTAAATGTGATTTATTTTTCATAATAAAGCATTTATCTTCAATATTCCCTTGTTCCGATACATTTAAGCAATTTATGGATGAAAAACTAATTTTCTGAAAGAGGCTTTATATGGGGGCTAGGGGCAAATATGGACCAAGCCCGATAAAATTTTGTGAATATATGTATATTGACATAATATTTTATTGTGCTGAATTTCATCGCGATATTTGTGTTTATAAGTTAATTTGGGACATTCAAGTAACTTTCTGAAGGGGACTTTGTATGGGAGCTAGGGTCAAATGTGGCCCTATCTTTATGAAATTTGGCAGGGTCATCAAGACTTCTATAAAACTTAGTTGTGCCGTATTTTATCGATATATCTGTATATTTAACATAATTATGAGCTCAGAAGCCCTTTTCGGGGGGTTCTGTTGTATGGGGGCTAGGTGAAATAATGGACCGATTTTAACCATTTTCAATAGGCTTCGTCCTTGGGTCAAATAAAACGTGCGTGCCAAATTTCATCCAATTATCTTGAAAATTGCGACCTGTACCTTGCGCACAAGGTTTACATGGACAGCCAGACGGACGAACGGACGGACGGACATAGCTTAATCGACTCAGAAAACGATTCTAAGCCGATTGGTATACTTTAAGGTGGGTCTAGGACGAATATTTTTGTATGTTACAAACATCAGCACAAATCCAATATACCCTCCCCACTAAAGTGGTGTAGGGTATAACAAAGTGTATTTTTAGGTAAAATTAGGTCAAACTAAACACCTGAGGCAAGCGGAATAATTACAATCATACAACTAAACTAGTATACATTTTAAATATGCATTCACTTTAAAGCAAAATTTATTAATCCACACGAAAAACAACAATGAAAACACTTTGATGTTATAAGAAAATAAACTTACCAAAATTTTAAAGCTTAAACCACATCTTTAACAAAACAAATCCTTTATACTTTTCTAGCAAATTGCAAAATTCCATTTCAAATAGAAATTCAATTATTTCCAATAAGAGAATTCAGTTAGAAATAACACCAACAATTCGTTAACAAAACAACTAAAGTTATAAAAAAACAAATATTAATACCGCAATTTTCACAATAAAATGTAAATGAATGCACAACCAAAAATAAACAAATAAATCAAAATAAAAATAATGTAATAATTACCCAGAAATGGAGCAATGAGCAAAACACCACATCAACAACAAAAAGAACTGACAACTATAGGAAAATGCAGAGATCAGCAAAACTGAGTAGTAAGTACCACTTTAACAGACAATAGTTATGATTTAAATTAAAACTTTCAAAGTATTTGCTAAGTAATGATGTTTGACCACCGCAATTGGTTTAACAACAAGTCTTGACCATGTTCGCCTCATTGTAAGAGAATAATAATTGGAAAATGTCTTAGTTCATGTTTAGATTTCTCCGTATATTTGTATCATTCTCTATTTTTATCTAACGACTTAATTATTAATTAAATTGGTTTTATTTTTTTTTTTCATACTTAAAAGCATATTAGTTTATAGTTGCAAAAAAGTAAGATGTTGGAGAGTGTGTTTAGATGGGTGATTGTTTGAAACCACGGGCAGCATAATCTCCTGGCTGTGAACGTTCCGAGAGTTTGGGGAAACCTTCATCACCGGGATTGCAAGCTTTGCGGGAAGTTATCACACGCCAGCCACCTTTACGGGTCCAATCCTGAAATAAATACACAAAACAATTATTATTTTTGATTAGATCCAAGTTTTATTACAATTTTTAAATAGGAAAACAATCCTAAAACTAAGCTGATATTCGCCTGGAATATCAGCCATCGACTGACATATTTGCATAGAACTTTTGTTCTAGTTGTCAGGACAATCGGATCTTCTACCGAACCGCTATAATGCCGTCGACTATTGTATTGCGGAATTCTTACAAGAGAATTCCTTCTAAAATAGATTGCATACATTTATGCAACCCCGAAAACTACTGTTGTTTGATCTTTATTGAAAAAATCGGAAATAAAATTTCATTAAGATTCAATCGGCGTGTACTTCAAAACTTGTCTATGAATGCAGGCCATCCCTAAACGAAAGATCTCATAAAAAGACACGTTTTTTACTTTTGTCATACTACATCTCAAGACTTTTGATCGCAAGAGTATACTTGTTTGATTACTAGATCGTTGGGGTCTCATATAAATCTCCTTGGTTTTCACAAACTACAATTAGGAACTTTAGTACGATTGCTGGTTAAAATTCAGTAACCATGCTAGGCTAATTTATCTTTCGTATAATGTCAATATAAAGATAAAAACGGTAGCCAATACTCTTTGAACTGCCGGTCCTTAGAAGTTGTACGATGTCAAACACTAAGGCCAGCTTAGTTCAATGATTTATACGATATATCCAATAAAATTTGAACATTTGGGTTATAATCTGGCGGACTTGTAATAGGGGGCTTGGCACCTCCCACACGAATTAAATACAAAAAATTGTATATCTGGGAAACTATTAGAGCTATAATACTACTCGAGCAAACAAGTATTAAGGGGCATGGAACCTCCTATATGAAATAAATACAAAACATTTTATATTTAAGCTAGAATCCTTAAATTTTGCACGAACTACTTTGAAATCCATACAAAATGGACTAGCAATAGGGAGCGTGGTAACCCCCATATTAATTAAATATAAATATTCGTACATCTGCGAAACTATTAGAGCTAGAATCCTCAAATTTTGCATCAATAATTTTGACGTGTGAAGGTTTGGAACATATTATACTTTTTATCACCTAATTGATATCCTATCGATATCGTTATACTGGGCGTTATGTGGTAGAATCCTAGCCGCGAAATGGGGCATTAGTACCAGTGACTTATGCTTCAATAATGTGATGGCCTTCTTAGGACAAAAAGCGTAATATAAAACCACAATAGGGAGTTCAGCATACAGAGCAAGGAATCATGAAATGTTTAGGGAACGCAGGAGAACGTCTTATAAATCGGAATAATCGGCAAGAAAAGATCGAATGTACTTGCAATAAAAGGAAGGGAACACGAGTGGGTAGACCACAAAGATCATATGGGATGACCAAATTGAGGAAGAAAAGCCTCATCAGACTCCAATTTAAGTATGATGCAGTGCATTCCGTACAAAATTTGAACGAATTCAGACGAATGTAGGGCATGCGGTGAGGACATTGAAACTCTGGAAAACTTTCTTTGTCATTGTCATGCTTTGGTAGAAAATAGATCCAGATAACATGGTAGCGATGTTATTCCACATTTTACATCTCCCAACAACACTGATTTCAAAATTCTTTTAGTTCACGATGCGCAAACAGTCAGGTAAAGTTCAAAGGATGTATACATCATTTTGACAATTTTGTGTTAAGGATGCCACCATA